TTTACTTAATTTTTAAGAGCTTTAGTTTCTACACTTTCAGCCGCTACGTTTGTGCATTTTTTTGGTATTTTTAAAACCTTTTATACCACAAAATCTTATTAATTTGGTAACACCTTTATGGTGTGCTTTAAGGTTATAATCGTTTTATTTTTTGAAACTGATATAAAAAATTTAAATTGATTATTGTAATTTTTCATTGTTTTACCTAAATTATGTATCTTCTATCTATTATTGTTTACAATTGTTTATTTAATACTGTTTATTTTTATTTAATACTGTTTAATACTGTTACAGTCAATTAATTAGATTGGGAGCTAATTGCTATGGCTTTGCACACCGTTTGCTTTCAATATGATTTATGTCAGCCAATGTGATGTGCTTCATTACCATTCCCGAAACGTTCTTTGATTCGCAGTTATATTCCATACCAAGTGACATTGACAAGCTATCAGTTTAATCAGCATTGTGTAATGAAATCCAGCTATTCGTCGTACATACAGTTCCGTGATTAAATCAAATAGTTTAATAATGATATATCGACGATTTGCTATTCAAATGGAACGTAGGGTAAAGGGAGAGGTAATAACGTGCTTATTCTACAAGGGATTAGATCGAGATGTATTTTCTGACTTAATTAAAGGGGACGAAACACTAGAGGAATCTTATTATTAAATTATTGAGAGTCAAAACTATTTTAGTATGCGATTATGATCAAACGGCGAGGATAGAGTTGAAGACACGACGCGGATGAGTGAGCATGGTAGACCGGTAACCAAAGGGAAAAATTGGGAATTTTGTACAATAACGTCCAGTTAGTTTCAGTTTCCTCCGATTGTCAGTGTCAAAGTTATAGTTTTACATACCGAAGGTAATATTTCTTATTGACCGTTCTACCGTGTGGCAAGAACTCATGATGCAACACGCCCCTGCAATCAAAGTAGACTGTAAGCAAAACCTTCACAGAAAACACCACAAATGGCGCGGTAAACGCCACCTGTAGTACGATGCTACATTTTAGGATTACGTATGCTCCATTTTAGGATTACGTATGCTCCAACAAGGTCCATTTAAATCTATGGATATCTACTTGCTGAAACGAATCCCGGCGTAGCTAACCTCAACGTGATAGGCACGTTACCATAATCGAATAAAATAATTCGAAGTGGTCTGTATTCCGTCGAAACTGCCAGACGCGGACCGCGATTTCGATCTTTTTGGATCTTATCAGCGCATTGCAGACAGCTCCGACAGAACACAGACCAACTTTTACCTGCTGTCTTAACAGCGCGTTTTAGAAAACACCACAAATGGCGCGGTAAACGCTATCTGTAGTACGCCGGGATTCGTTTCAGCAAGTAGATATTCATATATTTAAATGGACCTTGTTGGAGCATACGTAATCCTAAAATGTAGCATATACTACAGATGGCGTTTACCGCAATATTTGTGGTGTATTCTAAAACGCGCTGTTAAGACAGCAGGCAAAAGTTGGTCTGTGTTCTATCGGAGATGTCTGCGACGCTCTGATGAGATCCAAAAAGATCGAAATCGCGATCCGCGTCTGGCAATTTCGACAGAAAATACAGACCAGTTCGAATTATTTTAATCTATTATTTTAAAACCTTCACATTCGACTTAATTTGGCGCGCTTTTTTTCGGTCTTGGCTCGTGCGGTCGCTTTCTTTGGGATGATTGAGCTTTGGTTTCCACGTTATAATCATAAACCCATGATTCGTCACCAGTTATGACCCTCTAGAGAAAATTTGGGTCGTCGAGGACAGAGTCCAACAGCTCCATATCAATGTTAATGCAAAGCTGTTTTTGGTTCAAATTGAGCAAATACGAGATTTAAATATCGTTATAAATATAAATAACGAAGATACATGATAAAAACAGTTACTAATTCACCGTTTCCATAATTTTGTGCAAGAAAGAGTCCAATATACGTATTTTTGTCCATTGAACTTACAATTGTTTAGGTTTTGCAGCACTCAATTTTAATCGAACTTAATGAAATTTTTTACTTGACTCCTTCTGTATTGCACTATTCTTATTCGATATATGTAGAATTGTCGCTTAGAAGTAATTTTGTTTAGAATTGCTAATGAGTATTTATTCAAAACACTGAGGGGCCATTCAAGTATTACGCAAACACCAAAGAGGGAAGGGGGGTGGGGTCTTTGCTTTGCTTATTTTTGATGACTTAGGAACGGGAAGGAGATCTGGATAGTGATTATGTCAGCAATATTTATTTACTTTTTCTGATTTTTCTGTAAAATTTAGTAGATTCTGATTTGGCAACCAAAACTTGTTTGAAAGCGAAAAGCATGTTCAGGGATTCCCTAAAATAATTAATATTGCTCACTCACTCACGCGTTGTTTTATGTTTAAGCTATGAAAAACCGAAGTAAAAAAATTATGCTATTCACTTGTCTAAATTTGTTCGGTATTGTTTTTTCGTAAATTATCGAAAGTGTAAACTTAATAGGTAATTGGGTCACTTCAATAATTTCCGAATGTGATGTCTCTAACTAAAGATAATCACTATTTATTAAATTGAATATATATACAAAACTATATACAAAAATGATTTTGGTGGTAACAAATGGTTGGTTGGTTGGTTGGTACTGTCTCGGCGAGACAGCTTGGTCAATCTCTTAAA